ATACCCGAAGCTAGGCTTTATATATACGTGTAGATAGTGTACCCATAACCGCCATAGAATTTGTGAATACTGAAAAATCACATATTTTCGTAGGGTATAATTTATAAGGTTTGAGGAATAAATTTTGGTTTGTGGGGATTTAATTTCATGGTCGCAGAATATAAAATATGTAATGCATATGACGTTTTACATTTCGTAGTAGTCATACATTTGTTGGTCTCAAAAAAAAAATCGAAACAACGAAAATTAATCCCCATGAAAATAGTTATTTTACTGTATGACAAAAATGCAATAGGAGTTTTACCTGCTTAATTTTAATGTATTTAATTTTGAATTTACTGGGATATATCAAGGCATAGCATTTTTTTTTTTACAATAGTTCATTTTTAAAACAAGGATTCGTTAATATATTTAAAAAAAACAGGTCGGTTTTATACGGACACAATTGGTTTAAATTCCAACAATTCGTTGGAAGATATTTTCCATATTACATGAGAGTTGTCAATGAAGAACTCCAGCATATTTGAATATTAATGAAGCGTATTCTTATCTAGAATCAAAATAACTTTTAGCAAGGTAATTTGGTCGATAATCTATCGCATTGAACTTCTTAATCCCCATCATTCCCCATTTTCAAAAGTGAGTTATCTCTCCTAAAAATCGGAACTCTTCTACACTAGCATAACTTCCGCGGACTACGAATTACGATCATCCAACAAAATAGTGATCAACTTACACGCTGCATTTAAAAAATTTAAAAGAAGGAAATGGTTTGCAGTCTTTTTAGATAATAAGCGATTTTATAAAGGGTCTGTTAGCCCCCCCCCCCTTTCTAGAAAGCTATACGAATTAGCCATGCACGTAGCATCGTATTTAGAAGGGGCGCACGCTAACTCTCGATTCCCGCCTACATTTTGGAGCCATTTAATTCAATATGAATAGCAATTTGGCCATAAAACTTTGTTTAATACAAAGAACAGTTAAATTGTAATTGATAAATCGTCTTAATACCACCGCTAAACAGTAAATTATCCATAATTCCAGCTCTTGAAAAAATGGGGGTTGACGATTTTTTCCATTGAAATCGGAGTTTCAAGCATCACCGTATTTTAAAATAGTCTTGGATATGATTAAATGTTCCTTATATCTTTTCTTATGTTTTAGGCAAATAAAAAAACATAAATATTTCAATAAATTATAATGTTTCAGTTGTAATCGCTTTGAAATTGGTGGAAAATAAGCATTTTTATCGTTTTTTTTTTTGAATAAATATATGTTCCCCCCCCCGTGTCACACAAAAAGCTTTGGTATGAATTTGTGAAATACCATTCCATATTACCTGTAAAAAGGAATTTTTGTGACACGGGGGGGGGGGGGAAAGATGTTTTAAAAATATTTTCCGTTTTCCATTGATTTCTAAAGTGAAAAACACAAGTTTTACCAAAATTTTAGAGTTATCTCTCTTTGTTTTCCCAAATAAGTAATGTTTTATGAAAATTCATATAATTATCTATAAAAAATATTAAAAATTCATCGAATATGTTAACTTTTGAAAATTGACTTGGAGGTAGGCGGGAGAACAATACTATCGTTCGCAGTTCTTATTAGTCTTCTGGTTCAATCAGTAATAATGTGCCTTCTAAGTTATAGCGTAGCTGAGGTGGATTGAAAATTAATTTCGATCTGCAATTTCAATCCGATGTTTTCCAAACGTCCGCGTCGAATTGTACCCGCCCATTTCGTTGTCTATCCTGAATGTTTTGATTGTAACAGAAAGAAATGACGTAAGCTGTATATTTCCAATTTTGCCAGTTAATGTTCCGCGGTCTTAAGGATATATGAATGGTATTTTAAGTCTGGAACAAACCCTAAAATCATAGGTTCGTCTTTTTCAACAAAATTACCTATACAAGAGTTCTACACTTTCTACATTTTCCCCTAAAAACTTTAATAAATTGAAATTGTTTTGAAAGTAATATAATTATTTGAATTTATTTTAGATCTAGAAAGCACATGATATTATAAGAAAAAAGGCAAATATACAAGTTTTTAATTGAAAATAAAATAGTTGTATTCAAATAATATTTTTGCAGCGTACGTCAAACTATAATACAAGATAAATATTGCCTGGTTTCCCATTAACACTTAATATCTATCTCTTTTCATTTTTAAATTTTATCCTTTAGTATATTTTTTATGGAAAACAACGGGCAAACATTGTTTCTTTTATTTTTAGAAAAGCATATTCTTATTTAGGGTCTAATGAGCATGGAGGGAAACAAAACATTCAATTTGCAGCCCTAGCTTCAGTTTCAAATACAATTCATTTTCAAATATTAACTCATTCTATTGCCACACAAAGTTATTTCCATTCTATTGTCGAATCGAGATATCCCCGCGAGCTTGAAATTAAAGATACCACAAAATCAGACACATCAGTTTCATATTTAGATATTTTTCTGAAAAAGGCGTTAATGGAAATCTAACAACCAAGCTTTAT